TAGATCTTTATGGAAACAGACTGCCTCATCTTTCTTCCATGGAGCGGCTGGGAGGTTTGAACCACTGACCTTTTGGTTAGCAGCCAAAATGCCTTAGCCACTACACCACCAGAGTTCTTTACTTAATGAGCTAGGAGTTACTAATACTTATAATAGTAATATAAATATAATACTGTTAAATAGTGTGACATGCCAAGAACAAACAGTAATTGCAGCAATAAATATTTTTGTAAAGTGAGCTCAAGAATGATTTCACGATGATAAATCAGTGAAGGGAGAGGAATGACCATGAAGGTCCCAGCTATCGTCAAACTGCAGCCAAGAGGAGTTTCATCTCAACTCTTCGTCCAGAGCCATGTCCCCAGAGAAGCTCTAAGGCCCCACACAGCAACACCGAAGAACAGCACTGTGAACCTGACCTAGAGAGTTTCTGTCTACACCGAAGGACCTTTCACCACAGCTGGGATGAGGCACCACCAATGTGATAGCAGAGTTTCAAAGTCGCTTGACAAAGACGGTAGCGACAGAACAGAAAGCTTCAGCCAAGGCTCCATGACTGTTCCCACAAGCTGTGGAGCGGGCCTTCCTGAGGCCACCACGGGAGCGCTGCGCGCAGCCCCCCTGCTTCTTCTCCGCCCGCGCTTCCATGCACTGCGTGGACACGATGGGGTGGGTGTAGGGAAAACAAAGACACGTACAGGTGTCTCTGAACAGCTTTAACTCTCTCTCTGTTGATGGCTTTTCTTAAAACTTCCTCCCCAAACGAAGGGAAAAACAGACCCATCAAAGTACCTTTGACTCCAAACGTGGGTCCCTGAGAAGGCTGCCTGAGGCAGGCGAAGGAGTTGACCTTGAGGTGGGCTGTCAGGGCCTGAACAAGCCCAATCGTCACTGTGCTCTTCCCTTCACCAAGGGGGGTGGGCGTGATCCTGACGTGAAGAAGGAAAAAGTAAACTTAATCACGTTTCCTGGATGTTGCCACCACCAAGTTGATCCTGAGTCAGG